GGGTTGGAACTAGATAATCTTTAAGGTCCCTTCCAACACAAACCATTCTATGATTCTATGATTCTATGATTCTATGATCACTCTTATTTCATAGGAGGCCTAGAAAACAGACAAGCTCTGAGCAACTCTTATACACATTAAGAGGTTGTATAGTATTTTTTCTAAAATGTAATTGCAGCTGGTTTTATTTTTTTAAAAAACCCTCAAATTTTATATAAAAGCCTTGTGATTAAAGTATGTAGCAGAGGCTTGTCAGAATCAAATCCCTACATCTCCCACCAGCCATTAGCGTGTTAAAATCATGAGCCTGGGTGGATTTATGCCACCCTGCATTATAAAATGTGAGATTGTAGAGCCAGGAAGAGAGCGATGGAGTGTACTGACTGTGATGCCCATGTAGAGAGAACTCTTAAGACAGCATCAAGCACTCCTTCTGTGTTTGTATTTAACAGCCAGTGGATGACAAATAACTGAAAACATCAGTGTCCTCCTTCCTGGATGAGTGGTTTTAATCCAGTAGCTAATAACAAGTAAGTAAATAACCTGTGGACACTGGCACGGACCCAAAGTCTGTCTCTGAATTCTGGTCCTGGAACTGTACCCCATTTGAAGGCATGAGGCAACAAGACTGAGGAGGTGTCTCCTGTGAAGTAGGATCATTGCCAATGTTCCTAACTGAGACAAATAAGGCAATAAAAAGATGAGGAATCACTGCATCAATCACTAGGCTACCAAATGCAAGACAAAGCAAGGCATTGATAGCATCAATCTGGTGTTTGTTTTTCAAACAAAGTGTTTGTTTTAATTTTAAGTGAATGCTGCTTGGTTAACCCCCTTGAGTCTCTGGATCATGGTGGACCCCATCTGTAGCCCTGTGTGAGGAATCTGATCTCTTGAACGTGATGGGATTTGAAAAAGAATATGGCCTGCAGTTTTCCTCTTGGTGAGGCCCAGAAATGAACAAGAGATTGAGGTTTCCTGTCTTAGGCACTTAATCAGGTGATGAATTCTGTGTTTTCATATCCCATTTGAAGACCAAACGTCTGGCACCATAGTGTTTAACTTGTATATAATCAATTGCTGTATCATATCTAGTCTTTGGGTATACAGTTAGCTTCATCTTCAATAACCTGATGATGTGCATATGGAGTTAATTGTTTATGTACCTTCTGAGCTGGGGACAGAGCACCTTGGCACTATCCCATCCTATGTGCCCTTTATGTCATTTTATGGATACTTAATGGTTGTACGTTTGCATGCATACACACACAAATATGTAAATATATATTTGTGAAAAGCCCTACTCTGCTGGAATCTATGGCCAGGTTGCCTTCAGCTTCAATGGAATGATGGTCTGAATCCATGTGCACTTTACTGCATCTTTTTGCATGATTGACAAGCCATGAGCAGCATATATTATAGAACTTGTTGATTTGCCAGATTTTCTAAGAAAGGTAATATATTTTTTTCCAGGATCAAATATGTTATTTGGTAAGGAGTACTAGTGTAAATTAGACTAAATGTTCTAGTAACAGCCTGACAATTCAGTCAGAATTTAGAGTCACAGAATCATCATGGTTCAAAAGGACCTCTGAGATCTCTGAGTCCAACAATACACATAAAAAAGACCCCCACAATCTTGGGCACTAAAGCATGCCCTGAAGCGCTACATCTCCATGTTTCTTAAATACCTCCAGGGTTTCTTAAATACCTCCAGGGATGGTGACTCCACCACCTCCCTGGACAGGCTGTTCCAGGGCCTGACCACTCTCTCAGGAAAGTCATTCTTCCTAAGATCCAAGCTAAACCTCCCCTGCTGCAACTTCAGACCATTTCCTCTGGTCCTGTCATTATTCCCTTGAGAGAAGAGGCCAACCCCCACCTTTCTACAACCTCCTTTCAGGGAGTTGTAGAGAGCAATGAGGTCTCCCCTCAGCCTCCTCTTCTCCAAACTAAACATGCCCAGTTCCCTCAGCCTCTCCTCATAGGACTTGTTCTCTAGACCCCTCACCAGCTTGGTGGCTCTCCTCCGGACACGCTCCAGCACTTCAGTGTCCTTCTTGTAGTGAGGGGCCCAGAACTGAACACAGCACTCAAGGTGAGGCCTCATCAGAGACACCATCACTTCCCTACTCCTGCTGGCCACGCTATTCCTGATACAGGCCAGGATGCCGTTGGCCGCCTTGGCCACCTGGGCACACTGCTGGCTTGTATCCCATCAAAAGCGTCTTGTTCAACCAGGCCAATGATTTCGCCGCCCTCCAATATTGTGACAGATGAGGACAGCCTGGTCCTGGGGCTTTAAGATTTACTTCTTGAAGAGCATCCAGCTTTCCTGGACCCCTTTGCCCTTCAGGACTACCTCCCAAGGGATTCTCAACCAGTGATCTGAACAGGCCAAGGTCTGCCCTCCATAAATCCAGGCTGGAGGTTTTGCTAAACCCCCTCCTTACATCACTAGAATTGAACACTTGACAAATTTATTGTCACTAAGCCCAAGAAAGCCTCCAACTACCACATCTCCCACTGGTCTTTCTCTGTTTGTAAGCAGTAGGTCTAACGAGGCAGCTCACCTGGTTGGCTCACCTACCAGTTGTGTCAGGAAGTCAGCTTCCATACATTCAAAAAATCTCCCAGCCTGGCTGCTCTCTGCTGTGTTATATTTCCAGCAGATATCTGGTAAATTGAAGTTCCCCAACCAGAACAAGAGCTGGTGATTGTGAGACTTCAGCCAGCTGCTTATAGAATACTTCATCTGCCTCCTCATCCCGGTTGGGTGGTCTATAGAGGACTCCCGGCACAAAATCTCCCTTATTTGTCTTTCCCGTCTTCCTTACCCATAAACACTCAATTTTATCATCACTGGAATCAAGCTCTACACAATCAAAACTCTCCCTAATGAACAGAGCCAATTAATCCACAAATTAATCCAATGTGAATTAATTCAAAGATAATTCTGACAATAACAGTAATTTTATATTGTGTGCTTTTATATGAGATTTAAACATACTAACTTCAAAATAAGAAGCATTTCAATAAATGCTCTCTGACTTGGGAAATACATGGCCAGGAAACACCTTGGATTTCTTGGGATTTAATGGCTGGATTGATGCAGGATTTTGTAGATGGGGTTAACCTAAAATATGTATGTGTTGAGTACCAGAGGAGGAATTGCGAATCAGTGCCCAATTCCATTAGCTTCCAATTCTTCCTTTGATTTCTTTTTTTTTTATAGTAATTTTAGGCAAGTTTTCTAATGTCATGTTCTGCATTTCTATGATAGAAATAATAAATTCCTTCCCTATGAAAAAACATTTTGAGACATGTAAGTAAAAAATGCTATGTAAGAGCCTTGGGTTATTATGGTAATTTAAGAGATAATGAATGTCATTCTACAAAATACTCAAAAAGTGTTGCATAGAATGCTACATGTTTTGTCTTCTTGAGTTTGAATTGCTGTTTACTTTCTAAAACCTAGACTGGTGCTTTGTTGGAACTTCTTTTGAAATCATTTCCACCTGTTTAAGCAGTTTTGACTTTGCTGCAGACATGGCACAATAGTTGCATTGTAGTGAGTTAGACGGCTTGTCAAATGTAAAACCTAGATTCTCATTTCCTTAGATCTTGCTGCTAATGCTGTTCAACTATTCATGAGTTACGTGATTTCCCATCACACAAATGGCAGTTGACATATCTGCCAATCAGTTCCATTCCTGCAAATTTCCAAGTTTAAGAAATCAGATTCAGCTTTAGGCACTATTTTAAGGGAATGATCTTTTTCATTAAATACAAAAAAGAAAATATTTTTCCTTTGTACTGTTCCAACTTTCACTGCTTGTATTCACATGTTCTCTGAGCACTGGACACAGTGTTGAGCTGAAACACAACTGAGCTACAACATTGTGTACCCTTGTGAACATCAGCAAGACTAGACTTGAGCACGGGAAAAGGCTTTGGAGGTGTGCTACACTTACATGTCACTACTTCAGACTTTGAGTGCTCACTCCACCTCCTGCCTACTACACCTAGCTGTGTTCTCTGCTTCTTTCCACTTAGGTTTGCCTGATTATAGCCAATGACTAGATGTGAATGTAGTCCCTCTTGTGCTGTTTAGACCAAAATGGTCTAAATCTGTGTTGGTTGTGCAATCCTCACATGAGTTGCACTCTAAGAAAAAATTTCAGATGTTCTCAAACATTTTATAATTCTGCACATGCTTTTGCCTGTTTTTCAATTATAGCTACATCTTAATCGAACTTAGCACATTTGGGCATTGGATGAAAGGCAAGCTGAATGCTTAGACTTAAGTGAAGAAAAACAAGAGGTTATGACATAATTTTTTATTAAGAACATTTACAATTAAACTTTGTGCATATGGATTTAATTGTGAAATGTGGATGTAATAAACAATGTTAGTCACATTAAGGCTGAACTGTTCTTGAAAAAAATCAAGTTCAATCACTTTAAAAATCACTGTTATATTTTAATAGAGAAGAAGTGTAAAATACTCAGAGATTTTATGTCTTTTATTAAAAGAAACAATGCGATTATTTGTAATCACAGTTTTGTTGATTAAAGTGTCCATCAAAAGCTAAAGGAGAATTTTAGCCTGCAGTAGTCAGAGTGGCAAGTTTATCTGCTGTAACTACAGTAGTACAGTATTTTGATTATGGTTTTCATCCAAAGATGACTGAAAGCTTCTTTTCTGGGATTTACGGGGAAGAAGGAGAGAGATTTAACATGACCAAATGGATCTACAATATGTAGTTGAACAACAGAGAAAATACATCAAAAAACTTAAATTACTGCTTAACAAAGAACACTAACAGATCCAATAAAAGAACTAGAAGATTCCAATTTGAATATGTTTCAAGAAACATTGCTATCACTTTATGCTGCAAACACTTTTTATAGTGCAGCAAAATATTCGCTTCGAAAGTAGTGTGAAATTCAACAGGAACCTTAACTCCATTAGTGTTCTTGTTATTAATTGCTTCCAGGGGCAAGAAGACTGGACATGATATAGATTTTTTGATCACCAGTCCAGGACCAAGAGAAGATTATGAACTTCTGCATAAAGTTGTTGACTTATGGAAAAAGCAGGTATGAACTAAGTAACATTTTGCCAAAAAAGATGTATTCTAACAGCACTGGATTAAGGTTACTTAGCGCTCAAAGAATGTTGACTCCTTTTTACAGATGACTGCAGTATTTTGAAATTGGATACTACTCTATTTGATCTAGGTGCATCCTCCAGCTCTGAATGCTAAAGTTGAAGGTTATATCAGAAGTACTTTACACACATTCTATTATATCTTACCCTAAGTCAGAGGTAAGAAATCAAGCTAGGTGGCGTTTTGACTGACATGGCAAAACTGTTCTTACACTTTGAAACAAAACCATATTTGTTTAATTCCTCCTTGAGATGGGAGTAGGTTCTCCCAAGGGGAACTATTTCAGGGAACTTCAGCTTTATGTGTGGGATATTAGGGTGACCTCCTGTTGTGAGGTGAGCAAGTCTAAAAGCTAAGGTACCAAAGCCCGGGACTCTGGCTTTCTTTCAGCCCATAGATTAGTATTTTTCGTGGGTTCTGTTGGAATATTGTCAAAATTGACATAGTCTTCTGTGATGTCTGGGTTTGGAAGGATGCACACATTTCACAGAGGAATTGTTCAGTTTTCTTCAGTATCAAGCAAGTTAAAAATTGGAAGAGTCTGAATTATAACATGGGCAGTTAACTCAGAATACTCCTGAGTCAGAAATAGAGTATGCTGCAAATGATAAGCCTTTGTTTCCTCTTCTGCCTTCCTAGCCAGCTAAGATATTTTTCAGTATTTACTACCTGTACTGTTCAAAGCAATTGAGTACATTTCAACAAGTAAAAGGTCAATGCTGTGTCACCAAATGCTCCACTGCTAAGTAAAATCACTTTTCAATGCAGATAGCCTGGAGAGAATGCTTTTGAATTGATTCTTGAACTAGATACTTTAATTAATGTATAATGAGTTAACACATGAAAGACATTAAAACCATTCAACCAGATAAAATCTCATCTGTTGTAAAATGTTACCTGTTTCAAGGTGGTCAAAACCTTTCAACTGGCTTTAATGGAAGGGCTTCAAACTTGTTTTTTCCTGGTAAAATACAAACTTAGCTGACTTCAGTGGACTTTTGGTCTTTGAAATGTTAACAGACTATAATTAATTTTTTAGATTTCTGTGAATTCCATCCTAATTCAGTACAGAAAGTGAAGGCATTGAAATAGATTGCTAGCAGGTATAATTTATCACACTCCAATGAAGAGCAATGAAGCTGTGTCAATTAATGAGTGCTGAGGAGCTACCCTGTTATCTTTTTATTTTTTATGTAAGGTTTCTTTCTTGGCCATTCTACTCCCTTTATTCTGAGAAAAGTTGCATTTCTTCTAAAAAGCTATCCTTTTACCTTCTTAAGCAGACTTGATCTGTTGATCCTCCAAAAATCCTGTTTGTTGGCATACAGGAGAAAGGAAAACTGATGCCAGGCTGAGGCTAGAGCCTACCCCTACTGCAGTCTTTCATTCCTTCTCTCATTCCATCACACTCCACTTACATTAATGAGAGAAATGATGGTGATCTGAGAAGTCTGGCAACTGCTGAAGCTTTTCAGGTCACTCTAAGATGCTTTCATTAAATGGAATTGAAAGGAAAAAATAGAAGATAAATTGTTCTTGCTGATTTTTTAAGGGTAAGATTTTGCAGAAGTGAGTGCAGAGAGAGTATGGGAGGTCAAGGGTGGCCAAGGGTTTGATGAAATGATTAGGATTCCTCTAGCAATCCCAGCATGAAGAAATGTCAGAAAGGGAGCTGCACAATGGCCATAGAAGCTAAACCCAAACAAGCTGGGAATTGTTTAAAGCTATGGACAAATATTTTTTGTTTTCTGTTTGCCCGCCATAGTTTTTATGGCTTATACTACTAGCTGTACTGTCTCTCTGCTGTGGCGATTGTGATATGCAGGCATTTACTGGCACTCCTAAAAAATAAGCTGCCAGCAAAATCAAAATGCTCCTCTTGCCTTTTTATTACCTTTGCTTTCTA